GCCTGATGCAAATGATTTAAAATAGTGAAAGATTCATTTTGCCCTGAGGTTTCCTAGACTTCAGTCCATGGATGGTTCGCTTCATTGCTGTGGGTCTATGGTGAGGTTGAGCACCATGGTGGCAAGAACGTGTGATAGAGAAATTTCTTCACATGGTGATGGCCAGTAAGGAGAACAGAAGAGAAAATCAGGAGGGTAGGTACACCCTCCCAAGGTGTGTCTGCGGTGGTCACGTCCTCCAACTGGGGCCCACTTCCTCTTTTCCATCACCTCCCGATAATGTCATCAGGGATTAATTTACTAATGGATCAATCCACTGATGATGTCAGAGGTAGCCACATACAATCCCTTCTCGGTGATGGGATCCTCAAGATGAGGACCAAGCTTTCCACATGTGAACCCTTCTCAGGAAACATCATATCCAAACCATGATGCAGCTGAAGCTTGGGGAGCCTTGGGAGTCCTCATCCAGAGAAGTCATTGTTTAAGGCCATCTTCACTAGGCTGCTGTCTACATATTGTCTCTTCATCCACGGTATGGGCCAATAAGCTTCTCCTTCTCATTGGTCACACCCCCTTGAGGCCTAAGCACCTCCTACTAACAAGTTGTCAATGCTTATGCCCATGGAAGGGGGCTATCAGGATCTACCGTGGCACTGAGTTTATCAGGAGTTCTAAGAAGTGTCTTTTACACTCTACCTGTCTCATTTCTCAATTTACTATTCCAGGAGCTTCCATCTCAAGGCTCCCAGGTAAAGCACATGTACAGAGGGCTAGGACAGAGCTGCTTCAGCTAGTTATGTACTTTTGGAAATGGACATTTCCAGACCCAGGACACAGGTTTCGTGAGAACTGAGGATGCTGCATGAGGGTGGGGCAAGTCCCCCTGTTTGTTGCTTCTCTGAGTGATTTGAGCAGAGCACGTGACACTTGACCCACGACACACCTGGAGTTCCTGGGCCTGTAGTGACTTTGAGATCCGAAAGCGCTTGGCAGAGTCATGCGTGTGTTTCCTCCTTGGTGACCAATGTGGTTCCTTTGTTGCCAGCTGTGGTCTTGTGTGCTGCCTGTGCGGACACTCCGGTGGGTGAGGAGTTCATGAGCATAGTCTGCAGTTGCAATGTGTATGGCAAGCCCGCCACTTGGGAGAAATTTAAACTGTGTGTTAAAAATGGAGATAGCCGGCCGGGCGGTGGTGGTGCACACCTTTAATCCTAGCACTCGGGAGGCAGAGCCAGGCGGATCTCTGTGAGTTGAGACCAGCCTGGTCCTGGTATCCAGGACAGGCACCAAAACTACACAGAGAAACCCTGTCTCAAAAAAAAAAAAAATGGATATAGCCACCCCATTTATCAGAGTGTCAGTGGTGGAGGACTTAAGGGAGCGTGAATGAACACAGCATAGGCCAGTATGTGTCTATACAGTTACCCCTTTTCTTCACAGAAATATACAAGCATCTTGTTCAGATAGGAGGTACGTTCTTCTGTCTTATTTGATAAACTTTTAATTTTTCTGATTTCTTTTGTGCTGAAAAATCGTACCCAATTATTCATATAATGTTATATATTTCTTACACTCCTAATTTCATGTTTAAAAAAAAGAATATGACTTTTCTGGAGTTTGAGGGGGTTTCTTTCTGACTTAATTCAGTTGATTCCTAACATGTTAGTTGTGCTGAAACACTTGGAAACTCTTGACTATATGCTCATTTTCAAAACTGAGTTATGGGATGGGGCTGGCGAGATGGCTCAGTGGTTAAGAGCACTAGTTGCTCTGTCAGAGGACCTGGGTTCAATTCCTTCCATGTACATGGTTGCTAACAATTATCTGTAACTCCAGTTACAAAGGATCAGTGCCCTCTTCTGGCCTCACAGCATACATGCAGGCAAAACACCCATATGAATAACACAAAAATTATTTTTAAAATTTGAGTTATTTCAAAAAACTCTGATTTTAAGACATTAAATTAGAAACAACACCAGATATGAAAGAATAAATATTGCATTTTTTCACTTGTATAAGTACCCCAGATGATAAAATTCATAGAGACACATAATGAATTAGTAGATTATGATAGCCTGAGATGTGAGAGAAATGTAGTGTTATATAACACCACAGATTTGGATTGTAATCAAGAAAAACATCTGCAGATGGATACTAGCAATATTAGTGTACTTAAAAGCATGAAGTTGAAAAATAAAAAAATATTTACTATAGTAAATTTTATGTCACATGTATTAAAATATAAGGTTCTTATTCATGTAGCTGTAGACTGATTCTGTACACCACTATATCTGCGGCATAGATGGTTGTATAACCTGCACAGCTTTGGAACTGACCTGATGGGGGCCATTACTGGAAATGAATAAAGGACAGAGACATGTCCAGAAAAGCTGGGATCAGGTGGGCCATGCTCTCTGATGGAGACACACCAGCAGCAGAAACTTGGTGTGTTGATTATATAAGACATGGAGGAGGAGGCAGGCAAGCTAATCTTGGTAGGAGGTCTCTGTAGGGGAGCAGTCTCAGGCTGCAGTCATCTGGATGAGGAAGCTGTGGTTGGTAGTTTTTGTACACACTGGTTTTAACTAAAGGTCAACCATTCATCATCATCCATACTTGGGCCAAGTGAAGGCCTTATCATTCCCATGGCTCTGAGGCATTGGCATCCTTGACATGGCCATGCTCATGTCAACAATACACATTCACCCAGGACTTCATCCACTCTACAGAGATGATGAGTTTAGGGTACATAATTTTGGATGGACTTCTGTAATCCCATGATATTCATACACTTTAGGTTTTCTGCCTATTGTTAGGATAATTTACCTTATTATATTTTCCAGGTTGTCAAGTAATTTTCTTGCATAGAATTAAACAAAACTCTTAAATCTCCTTTTCTGTTCCCTAAGCATATTATTTCACAACATCTGAATGAGATTTTGCAACCCTTGTCAATAATAAAATGTTTTCAAAAGGAAAATGTCCTACATTTTTTAAAATTATCCAGTGAGAGTTTTACTGTCGTTCTCTAGAAATCAGTATGTAGGATTTGTTCTCCACTTGTTTTTCTAGTCTTTCAATTGCCCATTTCTCTTTTCATTTTTTGCCAGTATGTTGAATGTTTAAATTTAAATTTTCATTTCAATGCAGTCTCTTCTGGTATGTATTGCATAATTACATGGTATTTGTGATTTTCAACTTCCTGATTTTTGTTCACACATCTTATTCCTGAGTTTTATCTGCATTTTAAAAAGGAGATTGTCAAAAAATTTGCTCTTAATTCAGAAATATGATCAAAGTTTTCAGATCCTTTCCTTATTGCTACTGACTGAAGCATTTCCTTGATTTTTCTAAAACAAAGAAGAGACGTGGGAAGTGGGGGACAAGGTTGAGTGGGTATAGTTAGCAATTGTATGTTAGAATCATTTCAGGGTGACTCACTGGTCTCCCAAAGGGAAATAGTTACTTCCCTGGGACAGAGACCAGTTCACTAAGAGATCAGAGTGGCTGGGTGTAAAATCACCCAAACCATGTGTTCTACATTACATTTACTTTATGCATTTTCTTGCTGTGATGACCTGGTTAGGCTTTTTGTTTGTCCCTTCCATACAGAACTACCCAGAGTGTTGGCTGGGATGATTGAAACTATGTTTTCAAGTAGACTTCCTCATGGAACTACTTTCATATGGCTGAGTGTAAAATGGAACACTGTAGGGATGTTCTCTTCTCCCAAAAACATGTCCACAGTATTGTCCCTTTGAGTGTATGTTTGAGTCACCAATGACATAATGAGCCCTTTATGCTGTTCTCACAGCTGCACTAAGCTTTGTTTCTAAACAAGAAGGCAAGTCTTCCATCTTGTCTCAGGATACTAACGACGTCACCAGTGTTCCCCACAGCCTACCGCTAGTGCAGCTGTCTGACACTCCTGTCTGAGTTTTCTGTACTAAAATACTGGGTTTTATTTTTTGTTGGATTCCAGGGCATGCATTCAGTAAGGAAACCAACACTCTTTCTTGTTTTTCTAACAGCGATTGCTGTCACCGCTCAATTATTGTAATGCTTCCCCCTTTAAAATGCCTCTGCACTTCACCTTGCCTTCCAGATACATCCCTAAGCTTATTCCACTACACACAGAGACTACTTGAAATGCTACAGCTAACAAACCACCGCAACCATGGCGGTCTTGTCTTTCCAGAATAAACTATTTGTAAAAGCATGTACCCATGTCTTTCTTAGATAAATATAGACACTGGCATGTCAGTGTTTATAACTATATAGCTCAGAACTACTTTTGGACATTGATGTGCCCCAATTATTTGGACATTGATGTGCCCCAATTATTTGGACATTGATGTGCCCCAATTATTTTTTTCCAGAGCTGAGGTTTCAATCAAGAGCCTCATACATCCTAGGCAACTGGTCTACCACACAGCCACATCTTTAACCTCTCCATTTACTCTTTAAACTTTCTACCTTGGGTTTCCTTGTGTTCAGTTCTTCCTATGTTGTTCTACACATGTGAATGCTCCTTTGCATGTAAATGAGAAGCTATGTCAAACTCAGTGTAAAACAAGCAGCTTCATGGGCTTCTGTATGATAGCAGGCTAAAGAATGTCACAATGAAAAAAGCACCACTACACTGTGACTGGGAAAACTTGATCAGGCCCTGGCTATTTTCAGAGCATGACAAAAAGTCCCTTCCCAACTCGACTCCAGATTTCATTTGAAAATGCAAACAGTGTGTGATAAACTCAGAAGGCTGATAAATATTTGCTAAGGATTATAACAGAAAAACATTGCGTCCCTGCACTAAACCCCTGGGAACATTACCAATGTCCCCAACAGCGCAGAGGGAAGGAAGTTGACATTTAGAGATAATAAAAAAAAGGGGGCAGTGTCTTTTGTAGCTTCAGCCACATCAGTGGTACACCCAGCTAAAGAATATATAAATGAGCACCTCAGCTCAGTTCTCAGTGAACGCCCTTCTTGACAAGATGAAGTCCTTAGTCTTCATCCTTTCTCTGCTCCTCATTCTGGAAAGACAGGCAGCTGTGGTTGGACAATATGGTGAGTATGGAGATTGTGGCTAGGGGGAAAGTCACTCAGAGTGTCCTTAAGGGTGCTCTGGGAGTGAGCAGATCCTTCCATAGGGTGATCTTTTTTATGAGACTTAATTCTTCTCTACCCAAACCCAAATCCCTCGTGGGAACATCAACAGTTTTATGAGGAAATTTTGGGGATAAGACTTGGAAGGAACTTTGCAGATAATATAACAAACATTCTTATTATAAATTTCCAGGTGGAATAAAAGGCGGCTTCACGAAAGGTGGCTTCACAAAAGGTGGCTTCACAAAAGGTGGCTTCACAAAAGGTGGCTTCACGAGTAGCTCTTCAGGATTTATGAAAGGTCATGTCAGTTATGGGCTCAAAGGAGGAAGTGAGAACGAAGCTGAAGAAAGTGCTTTCTTGCAAACAAAACAACAAGTATATAGCAAGGGTGGTAACATGGCACAGGCACGCCTTTCACAAGAACACACAGGTATAAAGGGGGCCGCACTTTGTCGTAAAGGACAAACATCCCAAATAAAATCCCAGGAATCCCAAGTAAAATCCTTTGGACAAACGAAATCCCTTGGATCTCAAATGAAGTCCTATGGACAAATGAAATCCTATGGACAAATGAAATCCCATGAATCTCAAATGAAATCCTATGGACAACTGAAGTCTCAAAATGATCAAATGAAATCTTATAGCCAGCTAAAATCCCAAGATGCCCAACTAAAATCCTATGGTCAACAAAAATCCTTTGGTGAAGATGCCCAACTGAAATCTTATGCCCAACTAAAATCCTATGGTCAACAAAAATCCTTTGGTGAAGATGCCCAACTGAAATCTTATGCCCAACAAAAATCCCAAGTAGCCCAACAAGCCTTTGGCCAAGCAAAATCCCAAAGTGGCCAACTAAAATCCTTTGGCCAAGAAAAATCCCTAAAAGATTTTTCTCAACAAACTCAGCATAAAGGATTTGCTATGAGTGGAGGGCTATCGCAAGTGCGTAAACAATATGATGATGAAGCATCTGTACAACAAAAGTCTAGCCAACAGCTAAAAACAGAGCACGATTTATCCCAATTTGGACAACAACGCCAATTTGGACAAGAACGCTCACAATCCTATAAAGGATATCTTGAACAATACCAAAAGAAATCACAAGACAACTATCAACAAAGAAGAAATTTTAATGAAGGTGGCTATTTTACAAAGGGAGGAGAAGGCCTATATCAAACTCAACTTAAGAGCTAATATAGTCATTAACCAACTAAAGACCAAGGTCAATATCAAGGTATGTTTCTACCAATTAGGAGAGCTATTTATCCAAGTGTTTATGTATGGTATATAAGGAAGCCCTGGGTCCATTGTGGGATTGATACCCATTGGTTCCTATCAGTAGAAGCATTATGTTACAAACTTTTAGAAATATGATGAGCGTGTCCTGGTAAATGAGCACGTGGTATGATAGAGGCAGAGCAAGCAACCCGGGTTAACAACGGGTCCTGAACTCCTACATTAAGGGAGTATTTCTCAATGGTTTTCTTTTAAACATAGAGTTTATATTACTAAATATGTACCACCTATGCAATCGTATTTAACATTTATGATGTAATCTTATTTTTTCTTACACTTTGGCTTGGTTAAAATTGGTTTCTTAGCCGGGCGGTGGTGGCGCACGCCTTTAATCCCAGCACTCAGGAGGCAGAGCCAGGTGGATCTCTGTGAGTTCAAGGCCAGCCTGGACTACCAAGTGAGTTCCAGGAAAGGCGCAAAGATACACAGAGAAACCCTGTCTCAAAAAACCAAAAAAAAACAAAAAACAAAAAAAAAAATTGGTTTCTTGCTTTTATTGGTATAAGATATTATTGCAGATGATCTCTTTCTCAATACCAGTAAGTGTTCTTGAGTTCCTATTACCTCCGTTTCCCATCATAAACCATGGGGTTAAGGATTAGCTGTCTTTTCCATCAGATGGAAGATACGATTACAAAGATCTGTTTGGGGCAGACACTATCTTCAATTGTGTGCCCAGTGATGAACCTGTTAAGAGTCCAATGGGCAGTCCCAGGCTTGTGGGCATGTCAGTGGCCCTGGTTAAACCCAGCTGGTCAGAAAACAAAACAAAAAGACACGATTGTGAGAAGAGGACTTGTAGGGAGGAGTGGGAGTAACTGGGATGAGTGAAAGGTAGGAGAGGGTGAAATTGGCCGTAATCAGAATGCCCTATAGATGTGCATGAGATTCTCAAAGAACAAAGTTAGTAAAAGGTTGTTTTGTTTTTCTTTTTAAATCTGTGCCTGGGATGCAGGACGAGTTCAAATGTGAGTACAAGGTAGTAAGCATCCACAAGTTGCTGCTGGACATTTGCAACACTGGGGGTGAAGCCTGAGCCCTAGCAGAAAGACAATGTTCGCCGCTTTTAAGTTTGCATTAAGAAAGAGAAAGCCACAAAAACTGTAGACACACTCAGGGTCCGTTGGAGTCATTAGTGGCTGAGCACCTTAGTTTGTAGAGGCTGGTTCTGGGAGAATTGAAAGAGGCAGACACCTGTTCATCTGCACCTCAACTTCTGACTGCTCTTGTTTACCCCTTCTCTTTCCAGGACTCACCTTACCAGAGTCAAGTCTATGGCACCTTCCAGATGCCGCCTGCAATGTGGTCCCAGGTCTCTGGTTCATGGACAACCCTCTACTCACATTCACTTTTCTGTAGGACACCCAACCCTGGAGCTTCCTCAAACACTTGCTTTCCAATAAAAATATAACTTTCTGCATCATTTGCTTTTGTTTACTGACATCTGATTGCTGCCAGTGTCTGGCTTTGGGACCATTCTTGATGGGCAGTTTCAAAAGGAAGGGACAATTGTGTAGCATTGGGGAAAACAGCAATGAAATCCCCATTTATAGATGTCTGGGTTACAGAAGAGGTGCTAGAACTGTGCCAGTCGCCCCGTGAGCCACAAGTCAACTTTACAATCCCTCTCAACTCTTTTTCTAGTCAGTCTTTAGAAACTGACAACCAGATTTAAAAGTTCACTGGCTCAAGGGGGTTGGTTTCCAACTCTGCCATAGAAACAGATTTTTTTCGGGCTGGAGAGATGGTTTAGCCATTAAAGGCTCAGTTTACAACCAAAAATATAAGAAACATATCAATTTTCAATTAAATTTTTCTCTCTGGCTGTAAGCCCACCATTTACATATGGAAAAGTTTCCTCCAACTGTTTTTAACTTCATGAAATCGAGTAAGGCTTTCACACTCCTCTTGTGATCCCACAGGCAGGAAATGGACTGAAGGTTACTTACTAATACATTTGATACTTACGGAAAATGTAGAAGGACTCTGAGTGTTGTTTAATGAGACTTGCCCCTGTTAGCACAGCCACAGAGAAACATGGGCAGGTCCCAGAGACACTTTCACTTTTATTCTGGAAGGTTTAGTCACTTCATTAGGTACGGAGAGAAGAAGGAAGTTCTCCTTTGCTACAGATTCAAAGGGGTTGGGTACCATCTCTGGATAGAGACATAAGAATTCTTCTGGGGGGCTGGAGAGATGGCTCAGCAGTTAAGAGCACTAGCTGCTCTTCCAGAGGACCCAGGTTCAATTCCCAGCACCCACATGGCAGCTCACAACTGTGTGTAACTCCGGTTCCCTGGGATCTGACATCTTCACACCAATGCACATTAAATAAAGATAAATAAATTATTTTCTCAAAAAAAGAATTCTTCTGAAGTCTTAAATCAGAATGAATATAGGGAGTTAACATGTAACAAGGAAGCAATGCCTCACTTAGACACCATAGGCTATCAAATAAAAAGCCTTGTGCCAGGTATGGGTTATGTCTTTTTGAGTTGTTGGCCACTGGGATCCTACCCCTAACATTACAAGCTACCACCATTGCTCCTAGTTACCCTTACCATAAAGTTATGATAAGACTTTACCACCGAAGACACCACATACCTGAGTCATAGGTCACAGAGAAATCAAGCTGATACTGACCTGGAAGCTTCATCCTACTGGCTAGCTTTCACAGTGCTAAAAGATACTATGCATTCTTACTAGGGAGGAAAAGTCATCATCAACACTGTTACCCAGCTGTGAACCCTATAAGCTAGAATAACACAATTGGCCTGGTAAGATATGCCCACTAGCGTAATAGTGGTACCCAGGTTATGGGAGTAACCAGCCAACCACTTTCTGATTGGACTTTAGTCCCACTCCACAAGATGGAACTGATGCCTGGTACTATTGACTGCATCCAAAAGCTGTGGAACATACATTCTGATCCTGTATTTGTTCCATAATTTTATTCTGAAAGTACATTACTCACATATTTTCACAATCTGTAAATGGAAAATAATTTTGTCCAGAATCAACCAGATCATAACTACCATAGACTATGTAAGCGATAGTAAATAATACAAAGTTTTGAGAGCACGTTGTTAAAAGGTAGATAATTTAGGGGTAAAATAAATAAATTTTCACATGTGAGAAGAACAAATACTAGCCAGAGCTGGGGCTGAGACTAACTCAGCTGATAAAATGCTTACTAAGCCTGAAAGAGGCCTGAAGGTCAGTTTGCAGCACACACAGTGCATACACCTGCAATACCAGCATTCAGGAAGTAGAGGTGAGCTGACCAGAAGGTCAAAGTCACCCTCACCTCAGCTATGTGGTAGATTCTAGGCCAGCCTCAGGACATTAGTCAAGGTTCTCTAACAGAACTGATAGAATGAATATGGTGAGGGAGGAGAGAGGGGGAGGGAGGGAAACAGGGGAGAGAGAGAGAGAGAGAGAGAGAGAGAGAGAGAGAGAGAGAGAGAGAGAGAGAGAGAGAAGAATCTTCTAGTCTGTGATCTGAATAGTTTAACAGTGGCTATCTCCTGCTATGGTACTGGAATCCAACAGGATTACTGAAGAGCTGCTGGTCTTCAGCCTATGTTGAAATCCCAAAGAAGTGGGTTCTAATACTGGTGAAGGAGTGCCTCAGCAATTGGATAAATGGACTTGCCAGCAAGAGTGAGGGCAAGCAAGCAAAAAGCAAAAGCTTCCTTCTTCCATATCCTTTTATGTGGGCTGCCACCAGATGGTGTGGCCCAGATTTAGAGTGAATCTTTCCACAACACATGATCCAATCAAGAAAAGCCCACAAGCATGCCCAGCTGTTTGAGTTTTAGTTGATTTGTAGGAGACCAGCTGGGAGACTGGCTCCCACATTTTACCCCAGGGTACTCTTAAGGAGAGAGGGATAAGAGATTTAGATAGAAGGATAAAGGGGAGAGAAACAGAAACACAGGATAGCCTCAGGAGGGCCTAGATCCTTATCCACTGGCCCCTTCTGTCTCTTCTAAAGGGCTATTTATAGGAATGCCAAGGGTTGGAACAAAAGACCTCCCCCCTGCTCAGCCAAGTGTAGACCCTTCCAATCACCTGGTAACCATGCACATGGTCAAGCAATCCTCTAATGCAGCTCTGCTGGGTAAAGCAAGCTCAGATCTCACTTGGAAACCTTTGTGGGCTTCCACATTGATTCCAGATGTAGTCAAGTTTGACAACCAAGATTAGCCATCATACTCAGAAACAGAAGAGTGTGTGTGTGTGTGTGTGTGTGTGTGTGTGTGTGTGTGTGTGTGTGTGTATGTACACATATATGTGTATTATCAGGAACCAAAGTTAGATTATTATAGTTTGAATTGGCAGTCCCCCCACAAATATCTGTTTAATGTTATTACCCAGGAATGATATTTGCAAATAAAACCTTTAGAACATAAAGCTGGGTGGATAGGGAGATGGTGAGGATCTGGGAGGAATTGGGGGAGGGAAAAACAAGCAAAATACATTGCATGAAAAAAATTAACTAAAAATTATAAATAAATAAATAAATAAATAAATAAATAAATAAATAAATAAATAAATAAATAAATAAAACCATGAAAGACAAAGTCATACAGGACTAGTGTGACCTTCCATTTTATTTATTGCTAGTACCCTCTTTTTCTGGAATTGGGTCTTACTGTTTTGCCTAGACCATCCTTGAACTGGTGATGCTCCCACCCTTGACCTCATTAGTGCCCCGGATGACCAGGTATGGGCAACCAGACCTAACTGCTGGTGTCCTTCTGAAAAGAATTCCTTGAGAGCTGAGGTGCCTTACGCGCGTGTGGACCTGAGTTCAGTCCCCAGCATGCATGTCAACCTATCAAGCATAGCAGTGCTTATTTGCAGTCCCAGTGCTGTGGAGGCTAAGGCAGACAGGTCCCTGAGGACTGCTAAACAGCCAGTC